CCCCAAAACCCCAAAACCCCAAAACCCCATGTAGAAGTATGTTGATTAGTAAATGAGATATAAATATTTTGAAAGTAAATATATTAGCTTAAAATTTCTAGTTCTTTAGTCTTCAAAGCTATTATTATATAGCTCCATTTATTCTTTGTTACCTCATACTTTGAACTGATTTGATTGACTTGGTTAGTCTATTGTTTTATTACGATGAGGAGTAATTGGAGGCCTTGCTAAAAGGGCTTTAGACATTTTACTATGGCATATCAAAGCTCATTCGCATTTGCTGCTTTACTTATTCCCTCAAAGCACTTTGATGATGATTTATAGTGCAAGCTAAAGGCCTATAGATCTCTTGTCCTTTTTTATGAATCATTAATTGGAGAAGTGTATGATTAGCAACCATTAGATTCTGATTAATCTTAGGAGAGGGTACGTAACTTCTAAATCCAGTAAAAAGCCTTGGTCCAGCAGATGCAACTCTATGAGATTGAGCATCATCTTGGCCCAAATATCGATAGGGACTTGTGGGATTTTTCATTCCAAAACTTTGTGATTAAATGTTGGTAAAGTTATTGAATTTGTTTTGATTAAGAAGAGCAATGCTATTTCCCCCAGGATTATCAAGTCCTACTGCACTAGTTGGCTCGGACTTTCTGGGCATGCTCTGATTTACAGCAGTCATTGGTCTTCTGTTATTTGTCAGAGCAGTAGAAATTCTTCTGTGCTAAGCTGTGTATTCAACATTAGATTCCTATCTCTCATCAATTGAGGGGTAGAACTGCTAAATTTATGAGTGACCAAGAACATTTAGATGTTTTGGTGAGATAATAACTGACTCAGAGGCATTTCTATTGTGAATGTTAGAGTTCTTATTTTAAGATTCAATCAGCACTGAGTTTTAACCGATTGACTTGTTTATTGACATATTCCTTCTTTATATTAGCTCTTGCTAAGCTTGAAACTGCTACTACTGGAGTAGTTTAGAAAGTATACTTTAATCCCCATTTTAATTTTCATGAAGCCCTAAAAATTATTACTCACTATCTTAGTTAAGATCATGATTCTATCCACCTACGTATTTAGACTGATGATTAAGCTGAATGAGAGAGTCAATTATCTATAACTGATTTCCGTTCTATCTATTCCTTTTGGTCTCTTCATTGAGACTATGAAGTTTCATTTCCTAATTTTTAAGGTTTATTTATAAGTTTTCTCTGTCAGTAGTATTTAAAAGTTACACCTCAACATCATTTTTTATCGTTATTCTTTTAGCTATTGCTATTTATTTAAGTTTTGCATTCTTTTATAGCTGCGTCCATGCAAAAGCTTAGTTTTCAAGTCTTAAAAAGTCCTCTCTTTTCATCTAGCCTACTAGACCTTGAAGAGATGTGCATTTAACAGTAGTAGTGTAGCATTAGTTAAGGTCAATTAAGTCCTCTTCACCAATTACATTCCCTTTTTCTAATTTAAACAGCTAAAATTTGATTCATGAAGGGAGGTTAACTTACATGAATTTATTGTTTGTGAGCTCTCTTGGTGTGATTAAGTCCTTATGAATTTACTACTTTATTAGCTCTCAGTGGATTTATAAAAATCTTCTTTGTCGCTTCACTTTGGTCTTCTGCCATTGTTAGTGTCTTCATAACTTCAAACTGACCGACCTTAACTATATATACATATTCTGCGGGTTCTCCTTCTCTATACAAGATTTAGTGTCTTATCGTGCTAATGTCATGAAATTGATAAGTCAATTTCCCAAGGGAAGTTTTGGTAAGCTAACTGAAAAATGGCAAGGATCTCAAGAATGCCACTTTATCATTGTACTTCTTCCTCTCAATCACACCGAGCACCTTATTGAAGTCCTTTTTGGACAAGACTGCGAAGTGAGTGTCAGTCATACATCTAATGGATGCCATTCTTGGCTTTTACTCAATAAGTGCTAGGTCACCAAAAGATTGGCCTGTCTAAATTTAAGAGATCTCGGTATATTTCATATAGAATTCTTCCATATCCTCCTCAGTCCTCAAATCGTCTTCGTTCATAGTTTCTCTTATCTCATCAATTTGAATCGATGCATTGTGGTTATTCATAGTTAGTTCTTAATCTTCATATTTATTTATTTCTAAATCTCTTGGTGATATTGATTAGTTTCTGTCAAAAGAACTCATTTAGCTCTACTCTTCCTCCTCAAGCCCACTTTTATTGTTCACATCTCTAAGAGATGCTATTAGACTGTTATTTGTCATAACACTTTTCCTGTAGTTTTCTTAGGATGGAATGCTAGAATTTATTTAGTTTTTAAGATTCACTGAGAGCAATTACTTAGGATCTAGTATAACTGAACCGTGTCGATCGCTTTCAGAATTTGCAAGTGAAGGTCTTACTAATGATAAAAAGGGGGCAGCATCTTTGGAGTCAATCTTTTCGATTGATTAATCCTCTTCATTGTTTTTTATTTTTATGGGATTATCTTGCTTTGCCACTCTTTTCAGTTGCTTATACACTGGATTCATCTTCTTTTTGTTTGATTTTTTCTTTTTTGAGTTGCTTGGCTTATTAATCAAAACCTACACTTTGCCTCTCAGAATTACATAAAATCTATCACCATAGTCACCTTGATAAAACACGAAGTCTCCAGCTTGCAAATACTCATACCTTAGCTCCATGCAAATATCGTTCAGATGTGCACCCTCTATATTCCTCTACTTAAAAAATTGAATCTCCTTAATCAAGGGTGCAAGATTGTTTAAATCTTTTTCCGTTCTAAATTCAGGGTTTTTCTTTAAGATTGAGATCACCAACTAAAACGTAGTCTAAATAAGTTATTTATATTACATTAAGAGATTGATTAGAAGGGATAGCTGAGTTGTTGTTGTTGTTGTTATTATTTTGCTGAATATTATTTCCAAATTTAGATTTAACCTATTCTCCTTTCTAATCATTATATGTTGCTGAACCTGGTGCATCGAAAGTTCTGATAGAATCACCTTTCATTTTCAAAGTCTGCTGCGTCTGAAATAGAATTTAAATATTTTGTCTATCAGTTGAGATCGAGCCTCGTTTAGTGGACATTTTAGAATAAATATATTTAGTTTATTTTATTACAGTTTCGCTTAAATTAATTCTATCGTTTTAACAGTTCATTTTAATTCTTGTGGGGTTTTGGGGTTTTGGGGTTTTGGGG